ATGATTGTTTTTGCTGTCAGTTCCATACAGATGCCCCTGGCTATCAGAGGACAGAAATCAGAACTTAGTAATTCTTAAGTGATGCTACTAGTATGTAGGATTTATTTTTATTAATTCCAGCGAATCCAATATTTGAGTTTCATGCTGATTTTTGAATACTGCTTTTCAATAAATATTTTCTTGATTGAACAACTGAGTAAAACAGAACCAACCCAAATCTTAGTTAGGACACTCCCACTGTGTGACTTCCATGGGTGGACTGAGAATTGAAATAAAAACATAAGATAAAGTCAAATACAGTTTCCATAATCCAACCAGGCCACAGATTCACATGCAGTGTCTTGCAGGTCTACTTATGTGGTTTAGACAGAAATGTACACACCCTTTAATGAAGAGAGCGTGTATATTCAGAGTAAATATTGGTGTGAAAATGAAGTTACATATACAGTACTCACAGAGCCTTCCATCAGTCATGACAGTCTGGTCGTTTGGTTTATTACCTGCTGTGGACATAAACTATTTTGTGAATGTGGGTCTCATCTTAGACCACTCATTCCCTCACTAGCACAACTACCAAAATCTGCTGACACAGAACTTTGATCTGGAGCAGGCCTATGGAAGAATCTAGTGTCTGAACACAAATACACCCAAAACTAGGCATTATGTTTGGGGATCCCTAGAATCTGTCTCTGCCTTTAAGTCTCAATGTAAACTAACCTTTCGATTTTACAGATAAGAAAACTGACACCCAGAAAACATAAATTTAAGTGAAATGAAAATTTAATTTCCACAGGTAATTAGTAGAGAAGTCAGTACTGGAATTTTAGACTCTTGGGTTAAATACACTCTTTGACTCAAGTCAATCTAATAATTTCCTATATAGAACACTAGATTATTCATTCATTTAGATCATAATCTGAGGGAAAAAAGAAAATCAAGCTTAGTATCACATGCTCCTAAAGTTAGCCCAGAACTCACTGACAGAGATGGAAAGAGGTCATCCAACCTCATCCAGTAGGAATATACACCGCATACTAGCTGTGGTCTTCAGAAAGTCACCCACATAGCCTCTGACCAAAGTACTGGACAAATCAGGACACTTGTTTGCAAAATGCCACACCAGAGTTAAGCACATAGGGTGGGTGCCTGTAGTTGCATACCTATAGCTAAGTGGTTAGGGCACCAACCACATGCTTCTAGGCTGGTGGGTTGAACCTGGCCTGGGCCTGCTAAACAACAACAACAAAAATAAAATAACTGGGCATTGTGGTAGGGTAGTGAAGAATCTAGTGAATCTTGTGTTCTATATAGGAAATTATGAGATTGACTTGAGTCAAACCACAAAAAAAAATAAATTAAATAACAGGGCATTGTGTCCCAGCTACTTGAGAGGCTGAGGCAAGAGAATTACTTAAGCCCAAGAGTTTGAGGTTGCTGTGAGCTATGACGCCACAGCACTCAACTGAGGCTGACAAAGTAAGACTCTGTCTCAATGAAAGAAAACGAGTTAATAGCATAATGCATAAAATTATAATTTTCCTTTGTGCAAAATGACCCTACTTTTCCACTAATCTTAGCTCCACTGACCTCTTTTTGAGTGACCAAGTAAACCAACCAGTTCAGACAACCAAAAGTGTCTTCACTGATTAACCCAGGGGAGGGACATGCCACGGACACATAGACAAATGTTTCCTTTCATCCTTCCTCTGAGTTTCAGTCTAAGGTGAGGCAAATAGGAAAATATTTTTGTTAGTATTCACCATACTTTTTGTTGTTGTTGTTGTTGCAGTTGTTTAGCTGGCCCGGGCCAGGTTCCAACCTGCCACCTTGGTGTATGTTGCTGGCGCTGTAACCACTGTGCTACGGGTGCCAAGCCAGTATTCACCATACTTAAAAAAAAAAAGTCTCATATTTTAAAAAAACATTTCTGAAAACACCTGTGAAGTATCAGGTACAGAGTCAAACAGGCAATATTAGTAACAAGAATGAGAAAAGGAATAATTAGAAACACTATTATTTTTAGCAGCAGGCCTATGTGTCCAGAAGCACACTGCTAATATTACTGGAGTTAACTGTCATGGTGAATTTATGGGGCACCTTTTAGGTGGTCATACTATGTATTATCATCCCCATTTTACAGATATGGAAGCTGACCTAGAGAGGTCACGGGACTAGAAGGTGCTGGAGATGTTTTCTGAATGCAGAATGCTCTAACAGCAAAGTTCACTTGCTCATGCCCTGTATTTTTTGGGAAAACACATTTTTTTCCTAGTTCTATAGTTTTATTAGGTTCATTCTTGCCTCAAGATTCATACTTCAGGGACTGGGTTTTTTAAAGCTTCTTAAAACAAATTGGGGGGCAGTGCCTGTGGCTCAAAAGGGTGGGGCGCTGGCTCCATATGCCGGAGGTGGTGGGTTCAAACCCAGCCTCGGCCAAAAACTGCAAAAAAAAAAAAATGGGCTTTATGCATTTGCTCAGAAAAAGCTGTGTGAGTGCCTTCTGAGCTCCAGCTGCCTGATGAAATCAAATTTTATGTCTCTATTCACTTCCCTAGACACGTCAGATCTCATAAGCAGAGTCTTCCCCTGGGTTGTCACTTTTCCAGGCTCTTAATCTGGTTGGCAAGATATCCTGAGCGTTTCTAGGAGAATCTAGACATATCTGTACCTCTCTTTTGGACCTACTTCCTTTTCCACCTCTAAGCCTTTCCTGTATCAGGCAACCAAAACCCTTCTCTGCCAGGGGGACAGGCCTTACCACATCACTCACATATCAGAGAGGGCTTCCATCTAGTCACACCTGCCAAAAGTAATCTATGAAAACATCTTCATCTGTTCCTGTTGAGCAAGCGGGCTTAGAACATTACACTGAAGCAGACAAATCACTTGGCTACCTGAAGTTCAACATCACTCCACAGAGGCCATGTGCAGTGGCTCAGGCCTGTAATCCTAGCACTCCGGGAGGCCAAGACTGCTGGAGCACAGGAGTTTGAGACCAGCCCAAACAAGAGAAAGACCCCCATCTCTACTAAAATAGAAAAATGAGCTGGGTGTTATGGCAGGTGCCCGTGGTCCCAGCTATTCAGGAGGCTGAAGCAAGAGGATAGCTTGAACCCAGAAGTTTGAGGTTATATGAGCTGTGATGCCACGTACTCTAGCCTGGGGCAACAGAGACTCTGTCTGAAAAAAAAACAAAAAATTGCTCCACAGTGCCACTGAATCTAAATTTCTGTAATCCCTGAACAAACAAAACACCATCATCACTAAAAGATATGCACAAAATATTCATAAGAGCACTATTAGTATTATGTCCAAAGTGAAACTATCTAAGTGTCTTAACAACCATAAATTAGAAATATAATTGAATACTATTAGAGAAAGGAGAATAAAAAAAAAACTACTATAGCAATATCATAGATTTCACAAACATAATAAGGAAACAATCCAGACACGAAAGCATATATATTCTATGCTATTCACATTCTATTCATAAATTTTAAAAGATAAGCAAAATTAAACAAAGGCATCACAAGTCAGGATATTGGTCACTCCAGGGAGCCTGAGGGGAGCATGACTTTGGGGTGCTGGTAATTTTCTGTTAACTGAGGTACTGATTACAGAAGTGTGTCCACTTTGTGACAAGTACTCCATCAAGCCGTCTACTTACGATGTGTGCACTTTCCTCTATGTATAAAGTACTTCCATAAGGAGCTGACTCGGAGATCCCTGGTGTGGTGTGTGTCCCTTAGTTGACAGAACAGTGTTTCCCATGGAGCTTAAATATCTCAAGGACACAGAGGAAATCCATGGAAGGCTGGCACTGCCATCAGATCTTTTAACTCCCCACCCAAATACCCAAAATAACTCTCGAACATGGGAGGGTGTTTCCTCTAACCTTCTTCTTTGCTGTAACTACAGCCAAGGTTTCAAAGAATGAAGGCTACATTCTTCTTAAGAACATAGCCCAGAAGGCTCGAGGCTCCTACTGACATCCATCCAAGAAGAGCATCTAGACACTATTTCAGGCGGCTCCCATAGCTCAGTGGGTAGGGCGCCAGCCACATACACTGAGGCTGAGGGGTTCAAACCTGGCCAGCTAAAACAACAATGACAACAGCAATAACAACAACAAAAATAGCTGGGCATTGTGGCAGGCACCTGTATTACCAGCTACTTAGGAGGCTGAGGCAAGAGAATTGCTTAAGCCCAAGAGTTTGAGGTTGCTGTGAGCTGTGACACCATGGCATTCTACCCAGGGCGACAGCTTGAGACTCTGTCTCAAAAAATAAAATAAAATAACACTATTTCAGATATGGCAAATTAGAAAAAGTCAGCACTGTCCTCACACTGGTCAGCTATGTGATGGCTGGCTCGTTCCTTCCTTCTCCCTGACCCCCAGGCTCCTCCTCATCTATTAACTTCTCAACTATTAACAACTCAATTATTAACTCCTACCCTGCAAGGGTACCACAAGGTTAAGAAATTAGTGTCAGAGCAGTGTCTGGTACATGACAAGCACTTGGAAAAAGCCTTTGTAGAATGAATATTGAATTGAATTAATCAAATGCTTTTCACTTGGTAGAAGCTTGATAAATAGTAATTATTACCAAGCAAGGGGAACACGGAGAAAGGGAATAAACAGGCTTGTGAAAACCAGCACCTCATTTTCGAAGCCTACTGAGTCATTAATGGGTTGACTACTAGTTTTCGCTGGTATAGATGACAGAAAGAGCAATAAAGGACTTGAGAAGGGGACTGTGTCCTTTATGCGCTGCCAGGTCTGTGTTTCCCTTCTTGGGACTAAATAAAAGATTGCTCATTGCCTGCCAGACCATGTCTCAATCCTACAGCCACCTATGCTAGTCACACCGCTCTTAAAAAGCGTTTAGTGGGGGGTTGGAAACTCTCATACACTTCATGAGTAGACTGAGTATAGGTCAAGGTCAACTACAGAAACATTCAGACACTGAGAGAAAGGCTCTCAAGAGGTCCAAAATCAATCATGGTAAGGGGTAAGACGTTTACTTACATTTTCACAAACCAGGTTTAATACAGACTTTTTTTGCTCTTCGAATCTTGAATACACTTAGCAAAGCGATCCATACAAGTTCTTTTACGCTGAAAAGAAACAAATATAAAAATGGCAAACTGTTAAATAGAACTGACTTTCACCAGAAAAAAAGAAAAGTTATAAATGGTAAATTACTGCATAGACTGAGAACATCAAAGTAGATAGCAAGGGGGTTATTAAGATGATGTTAATTAAGGATTCTTTCCCTCTGTCCTTCTTCCTTCCTTCTCCCCAGCCGGCACTCCTTCCCTCTCCTTTCCTCAGCTACTGAACAACCGCAAATATTCCTTGAAGACTGTCTGCTGAAACCGTCATCATTAATTCTTATGGCACAAAGTACCCGGCACACAACAGGTGCCCTATGAATGTATGCTGAGTAAATAAACAAACCATGGCTTTGCGATATTTAGTTGTTAAGTTAAAAAAAAATTTTAAGAGGGAAGGAGGGAAGGAGGTGGGAAGGTCTCAGTGTGTGACACACCTTTTTAGGGGCAAGGCACAATTCTAAGAGGGACTCTCCCTCACAAATGCAATCAAACAAATATAACCTGGTTTCTTGTACACTCAATGAATCCCCAACAATTAAAAAAAAACAAACCATCATTGAATAAAAAAAAAAAGTTTTTTAAATGCCTGTATCTAATTTATTGCTTGTCTGATAAGGACAGCATGTGGACAATATGCAGAAATATGTGCAATGTTTTTTGGACTTGTGTTTCTGAGTCCCTTGTCTCTTTTGAATAACTCACACTTTAAAAAATAACATACATTGGGCCAGGCACAGTGGCTCATGCCTGTAATCCCAGCAATCTGCGAGGCTGAGGCAAGTGGACTGCCTAAGCTCAGGAGTTTGACACTACCCTGAGCAAAAGGGACCATTTCTTTTAAAAAAAAAAAAAAAAAAAAAGCCAGGCATTGTGGCCACTACCTTTAGTCCCAGCTACTTGGGAGGCTAAGACAAGATGATCAATTGAGCCCAGGAGTTTGAGGTTGCTGTGAGCTGTGATGCCAGGGCACTATACCCAGGGTGACAAAATGAGACTCTGTCTCAAAACAACAACAACAACAAAAAATATGAACACATATTAATATATCCATACCATGATACAGTAATAAAATATATTCAGGTAGTCAATGAAGATTTAAGGGGTGGCACCCGTAGCTCAGTGGGTGGGCGCCAACCTCATGTACTGAGATTGGTGGGTTTGAACCCAGCCAGGGCCAGCTAAAACAACAATGACAACTGCAATAAAAAAAATAGCCGGGCCTTATAGCGGGCACCCATAGTCCCAGTTACTTGGGAGGGTGAGGCAAGAGAATAGCTTGAGGCTCAGTGCCTGTGGCTCATGTGGCTAGGGCACCAGCCACATACAACTAAGGTGGGGGGTTCAAATCCAGCCCGGGCGCCAAACAACGATGATGGCTACAACCAAAAAAAAAAAA